TGTGAGTATGTGACATGTTTCAATCTATCTCCATTCTCTAAGTTTAGTAGGAAAAAAAAAAAATTAAGGTCACAAACTAACAATAAACAAATGATGCAACACTGTTTTATCAATGTTCTTTCAACAAATTGAACACCACATTCACATTCTCCACCATTATAAGAGTGAGATATAGCTCAAGTAATTAGACTTCCCCTCACGGTTTTTCAGGTGATCCTGTTCCAGAGATCGATTCTCCTCACTCGCTCTTGTGGTTCTCCTAACACCAAAAAGAAAACATCCTCCACCATTATCTAAAATTTAATTTTTCTTGTAGTTATAATTACGTCGATCAAGAAAAGGACGTATATGTCATTGCAAAGATTATTGTGTGAATAATCCTTTCATGTATTATAGATAGCAAGCTAATGACCTCGAAGATGACATATTCAGATTAATCATTTTCAATACTATTCATACAAAATTTTCAATACATCCAATTAACATTAAATTTCCAAAAATATATGTTTGAACTAGAAGCAAAGATTTAAAAATTAATGTGTCTTCAATTAATTTTATAAGACAATTTTTTTTTTTTTACCTTGTCCTCTTAAAAAAAATGAGCCTAATTAGTCTATTATGACACTCTCTTGAAACTCATCTAAATAATTAGACAATCTATTGAGTAAAATGCATCATCACGTATCAATAAATCCATATGCACAATAATACTTCTCTTGTCTTATATATTCTAAATCAAATTGTTACATCGGATAGGTACAAAAAGAAAACGATGGTACAAATTAAAGTCAAAAAATGTATCCTGGCCATGAAAATTGCATGGTTAGAATTGTTATTTGTAAGCCTTATTATGAGTTTGACATATAGTGGCTAGACATGACTTCTTGTTTGTGTGGACAGCCAGAAAATTTAAAGGCCACACCATATATGACTTTACAAGTTACAACTTACAAGCACTTGAAAGCTGATTTATAGTCGTGTACGTGACCGTTCGTTCATTTGGGATTCTCAATTACAAATGAACCGATGATAAGTTGATAACTTTTATTGACAAAATTGTTATTTTTTATATTGGTCATTGGAACGTAATTGGAGTGTCGAACTTGGTGTACAAAACTAGAAGTCCCGAACGTTCGATTATATAGTCGAAATTGTGAATTTAGAGTGATCGGTTTTTTTTTTTTTTTTTTTTTTTTTACTTAACCTTGAAACCATCACAAGTACTGACGTACTATATGATGTTGTTGCTATTAAGGATTTGTTCTCTTCGGCTTGATTTCACTTCAGTTCCTAATTTCCTTCTCTAATAAACAATTCAATTCAGTTCAGCTCAGTTCAGCTCACCTCAGTTCAATTCAGTTTAGCTCAACTCAGCTCAATAAATCAGAACAAGTCCCAATTCAAGTACCCTGTATTATTGGAATCCTTTCCAAAAATTTGACACGCTTTGATTTTTGTTAAATTATACAATGCACAACGGTTTTCGATCAAGAAATATATATAGTAGGGAGGGGAGGAGAAATGGGCTTCCATGTCCCTCCAAATCTTACCAATCTATCTTAAGATTTTATGAAAGGAAAAGAAATTGCATTCTTCTACTTTCTTCATTTATTTTCTACTCAACTGCATGGAAAATGGTCTATCAATCTTTCATTATTCATCCCATTATCTTCTCTTAAAATCTTCTCTTATCATTTCACATTCATCCTGATTAAGATATTATACTTCGTAATATAATTGAAATTAGAATCTCAAATAACTCAACCAAACCTCAAGTTTAACAAGGTCTAGTTGAGCTCATCTATTGAATGACTAATTTTAATTGAAGTTTGACACACATTGTTTTTCATATCAATTGTCAAATCAAAGCGATCTGATCAATTTTACCTATCTCAATTTAGTCCCAATTACCATTGTACTCCGTAACAATTATGTTTGAAGCCCCTACCCTAGAGTTGAGCATGGGAGTGGCCGAGTGACTGTCCAAGATATATGTCTTGCCATCAAGTCTTGTACCCATATTGGTATGGGTCAAGAAAATTATGTTATACCAATCTTTTATATCCAAACTTTGTGTATGGCTCCGTCTGCATTATATCAAGCTAGCTTGCCATTTACAAAGTAACAGATTTTACTAGTTACATTATAGTAAATTGGTCATACAGGACATGTGACAAGCTTGTATTGAGTCGAGTCAATTTATATTGTACCGATTTGGCTTGACTAATCTCCAACTTCATCCCATTCCTTCTCCCTTCGACTAGGCTAAGGAGAAATCTTCCCACACTTTCACACTTATTCTCAAAACCAGCAGTCCAAATCTAGCTTCAACTCTTAAAGTAAAACACAAACTTCTCTCTAGAAGGTCAAAATTGCACAATGTTTATTTGGTGCATTATTCATAGTTGATAAATCTAAGTCAAGGTCTAGATGACGTTGACCTAAGTAAATAAACAATGTTGATTAAGATTAAATAGTTAATTAACCTAATAATTAAATAATAGACTAGTACATGTACCTTTCGAATTTGTTGGATATTAGTGGGCATGGACATCAAGTCATCAACTCCTATCACACAGCTATCCAAGATGAATTGTCTGTGGTCACTGCCTTTACACCGCTCTGCTTACTTTGAAAGCTATCACTTGTTTTCATCTTCCTAATCCAAATCTCTAATGTAATTTATCTTACAATTTTACAAATAATTACCAAGTCATATATGATAAGGTAAATAAAAGCACTTTCACTAGACATTACAATTTTTTTTAATCTATTACGGAGTATTTACTAGACACTTTGAATTTTGAAAGTAAGAGGAAAGAATAAAATCAGGGTAAAGAATTTTCACTTTCAGAATATTTCTAGTGTGAGCTGATCATAATATATAGTCCGTTGTAAATAATCTCTATCTATCTAGAATAATGATAGACAATTCTAAGAAATCATGCATGTTGTCTACCCTATCTTCAAATTGTCGTGATCCAAAAAGGACCTGGAATTTGATACTCATACAGCTTGCTACTTACTACTTGTAGCTTTTTTCCAATAGTTCCTTTATCTTGCATTAATAAAATACTCTAAACATTCTTCTAATAATAATTGGTACTCTATCCAATCCCTAAACAAATGGACATAAGAAAAAATCTAGTCTGCTACTCTTTGTTATCTTAACTTTTTTTATATGTCCTGATCTGAATTTATATGTTATGACCGATTAATAAATAAATGAAACATAATAATCTCAAATTGTATTATATAATAAATATACAAAATGTATAATAATTAATGAAGTATGGAGTAATATATGTTACGGAGTATAATATTGACTATAGACGAATGTTTTAAGTTTTTCTACAATTACAAATATTGACTATCCAATCACGCAATATAGCCTCAAGGCATCAAGCAAACTCCCCTATAATAATACTTAATTGCATCATCTATTCATCTTAGAAGTTAGGAGCTCATGAGCTAGGATGCATGATCGGATAAAATAATACTCCCTTGCTCAAGTGCTAATCATTTGCCCATGCTCTTATTATATTACTCATATTAATCCATGAAATTCCGATCAAATTGATTTATTGTTAATTGAAAAAAGTCTATACGCTAATTATAAGGCAGATTCTTGTACTAGCTAGTCATTAATCAATATGCCATTTTTTAATTTTCCACGAACCTAATAATTTGGTGTCGAGTGTTACTTTGTTGACTTGAATTCCTTATTTCACGTCCTAAAGTCAAGCGGAATCTAGTTCAACAACATATTGCCAATTTCCTCCTTTTATCTTTTCTTTTTCTTTTTCTTTTTCTTTTTTTTTCTTTTTTTATTTTTTTTTTTTACAAAGCCAATTTCCTTTTTAAAGAGGATTTTTTTTTTTGAATAGTCCTTTTTAAAGAGGATAATTTCAACATTACATCACCAATTCTACAATTGAAATTATTTTCACTAATTAAAATTTAATTGTAATAATTAAATAATTATTTGCTAATTAATTTTTTTTTACAAGTATTTACTAGTATATTTAAGTTTAACTTAATTAAAAAATATATATATAATATAATATCAATAAAATTATAAATCGGCTTATATGATCCCTGTTTTTTTTTTAAAAAAAAAAATTATTTAGAATCTACTATATAATATGAAGTACGAGTACATAAGAATACAAACTATACAAGATGCACTAGTAATAAAATTCAAAGAAGACAACATGCAATGAACAATGAATAAATTAAAACTTTGAGGAATAATTTGGTGTCCTACATTAGTTATATAGTCAACCGTTTAATTAGCCCTAAAAATATGATTATGTCTCCTATGATCAAATCTTTGAAGGAGCTTATAAACATCTTTGATTATCTAATAAGTCATCCCCTACGAAGACTCCCTACCAAGTATATTTATAGCCGGCAATTACCTTATATGCTACGGAGTACTATTAATAACAATTAAACTTATATTAGTACAAAATTGCTCATTCTTACTCTATTTTTTATTACATAAATAAATGTATGATAAAATACTCTTGATTACCATAGAGGCATAGATTGTATATTCATCATACATTTTTGTACCTTTGTAATCCAACTTTAGCAATAGAATGTGTAAGAGGTTTTAATTTAGGTATTTGAGTCCCATCAAGTTGGATTAAGTTTATTTGAAAGTTAAGTCTTGTAAAATTATTTTGGTCATACTAATCAAAAACTGAATTGGATTTTTTCAGATCAAATCAGATGTTTATGACATTTCTCCTCTAATTCCCTCTAACAAATTTGAGATTTGTAAAAAAAAAATTATAAATATTGTTTTTTAAATGCTTGACTTGGTCATAAATTTATATATAAAAAAAATAATTAAAAAATAAAATCATTTTATTCCCCTTAAAAAAAAAAAAAAAAAAAAAAAAAAAAAAAAAAAAAAAAAAATTCTCAACAATCACGCGGTAAAAAGGTTGGAACATTAAACGCCCACCTCCTATTCTCTCTCTCCTCATTCTGTCTCCATTTTCCAACCAACCAATCTCCAATTTTGATTTTTCTCCCTTCTAATAAATAAATGAACAAAACTACAATTCCAAATTTCCAATTTATTTCCTTCCATTTTAAAATAAAAATAAAAAATATAAAAAATCCCTCTATAAAATTTCCCTTAATTTCTTCAAAAACATTTCTTCCTCCTCTTTCTCTCTCTAACAAACTCTCCACCATCATCTCTCCACCGCCTCAACTCGCCGGAACTTCGCCGCATTTTCTCTCTCCTCCGCCGGAATCACCGTCAATGGCGGCGAAGAACGTGGAGGAGCTTACCTCCGGCGCAAGCGGCAGAATTATTCCTCTCTTTCACCGAGCTAAATCAATGGCGCTTCTCCTCTTTCCATCCTACAATTTCCTCAAAAAATTCATCATTCTTTTCTACTCTTCCTTCCTTTGTTTCCTCCTCCTTCTTCTGCCGCGTTCTCAACGGTTTTCGGAGTCGGAGTCGGAGTCGGAGCCGCGGCCGGCGGCGAAGTTCCGGCGGAGGAGATTGTTGGAAGAGGAAGAAGATACACGGCGTCGTCGTGCGCTTGCTGAAGCGTTGGAGATGATGCCGGTTAAGATTGATGGAAAAGAGGAGAGAGAAAGTGTTGAGGATTGTCGTTGGAGTACTTCGCTTTTCTTTGGTGTTCGACGAAATGCCCTTTTTTGCCGGTCTTGGTTCCCGGTTTCCGATAATCCCAAGTACGTTTTTAATTTAAATTATATATTTGATTTGATTTCTGTTAATTGGGGATGCAATTTCTTGGAAATGTATAATTATTTATTTGCATGTTGTTAATTGTTTAATTGAAATTGGATTTCTGGGTAATTCTAGGTTTAATTGTCTGTCATTCTTGATTTTTTAATTATTATTTTTGGAGGGTTTAATTTATACTATGTTTGGAAGTTACCGGAGTATTTTGTGATTAATTTTTGGGTTTTAATTGAATTAATTTTGGGGTTTGGCTTGTGGATTAGCTGAGTTTATGTTTGAGATAAGAGATTTTCTGTGCAATTTTGATGGATTTATGAACATTAATCAGTTTCGAGGCTGAGTTTGATTGTTAAGGAGTGATCATATTTTGCTTCCTCTGTAAAGATCTCTGTTTTGGTAATTATATTCGTTTTCCTGGTGACGAATGAGCTAATATTCAAGATATGCTGGAGTTGAGAGGTTGAGGATTCGATTCTTTAGTGACCAGAATTTTAGAATAAGGAAACGAGAAGCAGCTTAAGGGTTGGATGAAATGAGGGATTGCTGGTTTAGCTCAAGTTGGAAGTCTTAAATGTCATCAAATTTATCATTGATTTGGAAAATTTTGGGTTTGAAATTTGAATTTTGGGCTGATTGGACAATTTATTGCTTGGTGATGAGGTTGGTTGTGTAAATTATACGGAGTATCATTTTGAGTGATTGTGTGTTTGATGATTAGTATACTACTTATAAGGGATCGCTTTGCATATTCATATCTTGTTTTGTCAAATTTGAGGCAATTATGTTATTACAGTATGTACTAGTCTGGCAATTTGATGTTGATAGTGCAAGTTATTGATTTTTCTAAGTTTTTTTTTTTTGGTTTTTTTTTTTTTTTTTTTTTTTTTTTGTAAAATTGAACAATCTAAGTCTTGCTCCCCCCTCCCCCTTCTCTCTCTCTCTTTCTCAAATTTTTAACGTCCGTTGGCCATTTCTGGTTCTCTGTTTGTATATTGGCCTGTGTGCTGAGCTTTCAGTGCAAATTATGCTTGTCTCACTTGTTGGTCTATGTCGAAATAGCTATTAATCGTTGACCATTCAAATTAATTGAGTGAGGAATGGTGAGAAACTGAGATTGGCATGGGAAATGTCAAATGTGTGTTAAAAGCTCTTGCTGGGAGTAAAATCATAAGCGGTTTGACTGATTGTTCTTCGAGGAAGCAAGAATGAATTTGCATCCTGTACAAGTCTTTCCTTATCTACATAATAGCTGAGTCAACCTATTTGAAGACAATTTTCCTATAGCTATAATTATCCACCTAACATTCCAAACCAGCACTTGATCAACTTGAAACATATGGCTTTTTAAATTGAAATTTTCCTGCTGTAGGACATGACCACCTCACTTGTTGACTATGTCTTCCCTATGTAGCTTACCTAACAAATACTCTCTCTGTTTCTTAAAAATTGCCTGATTTTCCTATTTGGTTTGTCACTTTCAGTTTCCCCTCTGAACGACTTTGTATTTAGTTACATTTTCCCCACTTAACATCTCACAAAAAGATAAAAGACAATCCCACATGCGCAACTTTTCCTAGCTCTTATAAATGTGAAAAAATTCTTCTAGGGAAAACATTGATGGACTAAGGGATAATTAGCTTGTAGAACTCAGTGCCCCTAGTAGCTGACTTATTTATTCAACTCTGCTAGATGTCTAACTACTGAACAAGGACCAAAGTGTTTGTGTGTGCGTGTGTTTGGGGGGGGGGGGTGTTCATTGAGGGCTTTAGGTTTATGGACCTCTTTTAGATCATTGGATGAATGTTGACTTTAGCTGTAAAAAGATATGAGTAAGAAAGCTAAATGCTTGTGTACTTAAGAGGTGTCTTAGTCAAAATTTATCAAGTAGACATCTCTCACAGTCATCATCAACATCAAAGAAATTTAGGTCCCTATAGAAGAGTTTCAGGGTTCTATCAGTAACCATCTACTGTTTCTTGGAGATTAATGTGAAGCGGTGTGGAGGAGAGTTAAGGTAAAAGACCAGATAGGACTGTCGGTATTTGAGGGACATCTCTTTATCTCATCTTCTGATTGAGTGATGGCCCAATGGTGTCTTTATTAATGGGCAATTTCTTATTTCATCACAGTCTCACAGTCTCTCTTTAACGTTCATATGTAATTGGGAATTAGATAGTGCTGTGGCTTAATCATATGCCTTTGTCCACTGTTGAAGGTTAGACAGCTAAGGCAGGGAAAAATAAATTGAATTAAGGGAAGAAGATGATAGAGTGAAGAATAGAAAAGATATTAAATATTTTGCTGTTTTCTATACAATTATTCCATATTTTAGTATCGTTACATAAATTTTGAGGTCCTTGATAAAAGTAAACACCACACTGTAGCTGCTGGTTGTATAGTTAACTTGTATATGTTGCTGGATAGGAAAGATACAATATATTAATGTTGGAACACAATAGTGCAAGGACATAGTCAGTTTTGAAGACATACATTATTGAAATTGGATCTTCTATATCCCAGAACTGCATCCAGCCATCCAGTAACTTGTCCTCATAAGGAGACAGCTCTGGCCCTTTTAGTTTACTCAAAGTGTTTTTCTTTTAAAGTTGTTGCTATTGTATGTCTCTATTCCAAAACAATATTTCTCTTCATTTATGGTACAGATAATGAAAGTGATTATATGACTGAAAACTTTTCCTTTTCATAGCACCTTTTCTTCTGTCAAAACTATGTACTACAATTCACTAATCATTGAAGAGGCATTTTAGGAGGATACGTGCACCTTGACTGCCTTGAAATTTCATTTTTGAACATCTATATTTTATATCGAGTATTATTGAACTTAAGTGTGAATTCTATAGCTGTTTGCCTTTCTAAGGCTCTGATCAACTGGTTTAGAGTGACAGATATAAGGTGTTATCTTGCTGCGTATCATTCTTCGTAGAATTTCTTCTGTGTATTCTTGTAAGAAACAAGAGGTGTTATTTAGTGCTTTTCTTTTTTCTGACTATTCCTTACTCCTTAAGATGGACGTGTTCAGGTAGTTTATGATGTCTTGGTTGCATGTTGAAGTAGGAATGAAAAGTGATTTGTAATATTTTAATGATAAAAAAAAACCTTTTTGGAGTTTTATCTTACTATTTTTCCCCCCTGTGTTGGTTTCTCAAGCTAGCAAATTTGAGCAATTTCTATTTTATACATGGGTCTTTTGTACGACCACATGAGCTAAAAAATGATTTTGGGGTGCACAGTGTGCATGGTACACCCTGTTGTATAGCAGACATCTTAGCAAATCTAGCCCCATCTTAACACTTATCAAAGGGTTAAACATTTCATCCAAAACTAATTCAAACATAATCCCTTATTCTTTTCAAGTGTTGAATGTACATGTTGCATTAGCAGCAAGTGAAGGGTAATAATGATACCCTCTGAAACTGGTTGTTTTTGGTAGGTTAGATAATGACAAGTTCATGCAATAGTAATAAAGGTTCGATTTCAGTAGCAGTCTTCAGATTTGTTGTGTCATGTAACTGTTTTTACTCACTCCCCCGCCCCCTGGTTTCGAATATATGTGGTATCTGGCGGAAAACTACATGCTTTCTGGAATTTTCAGACAAATTGCACCTTAGTTTTTCTATATTATATTTACTAGTTTTTAAATGATTTCAGGGGCATTATCATAATCATTCACGGACTTAATGAACACGGGTAATTACTGAGAACCTTCTCAATATTTATTTGTTGCCTGCAATGGTGATCTGAGCAGCTTTTCGTGTCTCTCAAAATAACCTGATTTACTTTTTTTTTGGTATATTTGCAGTGGAAGATATGCTCACTTTGCAAGGCAATTAACCTCTCGCAACTTTGGGGTGTATGCTATGGATTGGATAGGTATTTTTAGTGTTTACTTTAGTTAAACATTACTTTCACACCAAAAGTGTCAAATATTGAGTTATTACTGTAGTGGTCCTCATTGTCTTATGCTGTGACAGCTCTAAGCTCATTTGTCAGATTATTGCTTTCTAAGCATGTCTTGCATGGAGGCTAAAGTAGGGGATACCAAGAGAATTTTTACATAGGATATGCTTGAGCTACAGTTTAATTAATTATATTTTCTGATGCAATATGTTAGTCTTAAAGGTCTGATATTAATACCATCACATGTGATAGTTGGTGTGTTGCATCTTGTAAAAGCTAGGTAGGTAGGTATTATTATGTATGCTGCATTCTGGTTTTGGTATATATTTCAAAATGCAATCGCTTATAAAACATATCTGCATATGCAACAATTTGTAATTAGGACACTACTTATTTCGTGTTTGAGTATCAGCGGATTTCCCTTTCAGGATGATTAATGTAGTAATCTCATTGTTTTTCTCTCTTGTAGGCCATGGTGGTAGTGATGGGTTGCATGGGTTTGTTCCCTCCCTTGATAATGTTGTTGCTGATACGGTGAGTTGGAACTTTTTATATTTCATTATTATCTTGTGATTTTAGGATTTCGAGCATATATGCTTGTAATGTATGAAAATTTTCTTGTAAATAGAAGACCCCCCTCTTAGTTAATTCTATGCCTAAAGTTCATTTCTTGTATGAATAGGCCGCTTTCTTGGAGAATGTTAAACTTGAGCATCCTGGGGTACCTTGCTTCCTGTTTGGTCACTCTACTGGAGGTGCGGTGGTTTTAAAGGTTAGCCATCTCACTCCTACTGAGTAGTTGATAGTTTGGAGGTTTTTTTTACACTCTTCGGAATTAGAAATTGGCTGAATTTTTCTTAATAGTGCATATATTCTGCTGTTGTACAGGCAGCTTCATATCCTCACATTGAAAGAATGGTTGAAGGAGTTATATTGACCTCACCTGCTTTGCGTGTGAAGCCAGCACATCCTGTGGTCAAGGTATATTTGTACACTATAGCTTGAAAGTCTTTGTGGGAGCATATTTACCAATTTTATGGCATATCATACACTGCCCTTGTTAAAATTGTCTTAGCATAACATATAACTTATTAAGGGCTGGAAAATTCTTCCCATAAGGCAGCCATCTGAGATGCTTAATTGTTTCTGTACTCCCACTGTATGCCTTTTTAACTCCATCTTGCATGCCTTGGCATGCAAGATTACTATGCAAGGCCAAGGGAGATAACACATATGTAAATATGACATGGGGTAACCATAAATATCAATACCCTGTTAATGAATCAATCTAAATGTTTTGTCTAATTTACTAGCAAGTAAATGATTATTGGGAGTATTTTGTTAGTTAATGACCAAGTTGCTATAACTATCTGCTTACCCTGGTTGGTTACTTTGCCTCTAGTCTGGCCATAGGATTGGATTTTTGGGTATGATGGTGGCCCTTTGATCTGACAAACCTTACTTGGCTCATGCTCCCCTCTCACAGACACACACTGACACATATATATACCCAAAAAGAATAAGGAAAAATTTTAAAAAGAAAATGTCAGGAAGAATATACGGATGCTTATGCTTATGCTCGTGCTGCTGTCTATGCAGGTTGTAGCCCCTGTGTTTTCCTTGGTTGCTCCAAGATTCCAGTTCAAAGGTGCCAATAAAAGAGGCATTCCAGTTTCCAGGGACCCAGCTCAACTTCTTGCAAAATACTCTGATCCGCTGGTTTATACTGGTCCCATAAGGGTCCGAACTGGGCATGAGATTTTGCGTATCACTGCTTATCTGACACGCAACTTCAAATCTGTCACTGTACCATTCTTTGTTCTTCATGGAACTGCAGATAGGGTGACTGATCCACTGGCTTCTCAGGATCTCTACGATCAAGCAGTCTCCAACTTCAAAGATATAAAGCTTTATGATGGCTTCTTGCACGACCTCCTCTTCGAACCTGAGCGAGAAGAAATTGCATGGGACATTATCAACTGGATGGAAAAGAGGCTAGACGTGGTTCAGGACTTTGGAAAATTAGTTGATTGATTAGGTGTTACTCAACATTCAAAAAAAAAAAAAAAAAGATTGGTGATTGCTAATCAGTAATCACTGTGAAGTGTTTATAGTACTTCTGTCCTGCATAAATTGTGACGCTGATATCGTAATCTGAACTCATAACAGCATGTGGCAAGTATGTTTGGACAGAGGTAGTATTTGTTTTGAAAATAAGTGTGGAGTCTGTAAATTGTATAGCATATAGTCAGGCCTTTTTGGTAGATTGGTGTGTCCGATTACAGTTGCAAACTGTTTTCTGGCAAATTTGCCTTCAAAACGTTTGCTGTGATCTGTATATGTATATGATATGAAACTGTCGTTTTAGTTGTTTTGGGGTGTCCTGTAGTCTACCTGGATTTCGATGAAAGCGGAACGTTTGTACTTTGTACAGGTCTAGGTGTAAACAGTCTTACTCGCAATGTAGAGAGGCTGATTAATCTTAATACATATCTTTTTGTTAAAAACTCGAAATATTGGGTATTTATATAAATATATATAATTTTTTTGGTAGCTAGCTGTATTGTTATTGAAACATCGTCTGAATAAAATGAATGCCATTTACTACACATATTATCTAAGTTCTGAAATAGTTTATTTCCAAACTAAATAAATGTAAACTAGTTTGCTACTTGCGTGTAAGAATAATGTTGTTTAATTTAACACAATGACCCCTAAATCAGGTAATAGAATAAATAGGCATCGCATTGACTAAACTGCAATAGCACCGTCCAAATCTTGCATCAGTTGATCCTCTTTCGTTTCTCTCTTATAAAATGCAGTTAACTTCTGTCTTTTCTTTATTTTATGTGCACCACATTAGTGATATTACCAGCTCATCATCATTTCTACCCTATTATGCAACCAGTCTCACCAACACATAATATGTCATATCTGACAATATTACAAATCACCTTTTAAGGTATGTTTTGACTTACTGAAAACAACTGAACTCAACTAATTAGGGTTGAGAGCTAAAATGAATTTGTTTATAAGAGAAAAAAATTAAAAACTGAATTTAATTGAAATTAAGCTGAACAGAACAGGCCTTACTATTTAAGATACTTTATCATTAGTGGTCATATGACAATGTAATTTGAACTAAATACACGATTATTGTATAATATATATCGAGTAGTTAATAATCTTAATACTACCTCTGTTAATAGTTATCTACAATTTTGGGGTATTATTTGTGAGAGATAAAATATTCCAAAGTTGCAAATAACAATTAATGGAGGTAGTATATGACCATCTTTATCTTTACAAAAAGAAGGCATATTTTAAGAATCTCACAAGAAAAAAACCTGAGGACTGTAGTTAAGCATCTATGTTTATACTCTATATTTCTTTCGGCAGAAGACAGATTCTTTTTAATAATGATTTTTTTGTGAACATTTAGTGCTTTTGTCGTTATAACCTAGTTCATTTTGAATTTGAAGTCGTTTGTTTCCTTCGTTTATTCTAATTCACAAAAGACAGAATAAGCTTTTTGCAGCATTTTGTCAAATTGTTATTACTTGGTATTATTTTATTAAGTGAATACAGTAATTTGGAATTTGTTCTGTTATTAGATACTTCTATATTCGATGTCTTTGGATCATGCTCACCGCCCTTATCTTCTAAGCCATCAAACGCGTTGTATAAATTCGGTACAACATCATAACTCAAAAGATTAAAAGATATAATAATTATTTTAAGTTATTGTGCTATCATTTTGAAGTATTATTAGTAATGTAATCTATCTATCTTTAAGTACGTGTTTACTACCTATTTGGTAGATGGTAATAATGTTAATTGATGTTGATAATGCAAGCGAATTTTGAGTGTAAATTATTTATGTTAATGTCTTTGGTATAGTGTTAACTCACGGTCTGAGTATATATGTTTTTTTAATGGGTGTTAATGGATTTATAATATAAAGAAAAAACACAGCTACACAAATTTGGAATGGGTTGCTTTACCATAAACACAATGACAATGTTTTTCCTTACAAAATCACACTAATTATATATTCTCATTGTTTTTTCTTCAAACAAATGTTTTATAAATCGAATGTACAGTAGTTTACTACTGTGTGGCGAGAAGGAAAAAAGGAAAGAAATATGAGTATATATTTTACACTAAGGGTCTGTTCTGATTTACTGAATTGAGCTAAAATGAACTAAATTAAACTAAATTGAACTAATTGGAGCTGAAATGAAATGAATTGTTTATAAGAGAAGGAAATTAGGAGCTAAACTGAATTGAATTGAACTGAAATGGTTGAAGCTAAACTGAAATGAACTGAAATTAAGTCGAAGAGTATAGGCCCTCAAAGTAACTTTTGATAGTTTAAAGATAATTTTGTGAGAATAAAAGTAAATGGGTAATCTGAAAAACTTTTGATAGTTTAAGGGTAATGTTGTGATAATAAGTGTATCTAGGTAATAAGGGTAATTTTTGTGATAATATGGATAACTTTACATAAACAATAAACGGATATGCATTAAATTCATTGTACACCCATTGCATGCAAAACTTTTGTTTTTCATCCTCACTACCTATCAAACAAGTCAAAATGCTAAATAAAAATTAGTTGATAAATAGTCGTAAAACATTAATTAATTAGTGGTCGCTTGTAAGTTATAATTACCAAATTGCTAGCAATCACAATAAAGAAATAAATAAAATTACACACATTCGGGTACAGGGGGCCTACAAGGCTACAACTATACAAGGGTATTTATTGTATACTTCATTACTTCCTATTTAAAAGGTTGTACTTCCTCCGTTATGTATTATGTGCAACATTTTCCAAAAACAGATGTTACACATTATCTGCAACAAACTAAAACTTTCTTCTTTTAGTAATTTTTTTTACATAAAATTACCAATGTACCCTAAGTTAACTTTACTAACACATATTAAATGATTAAGATTATATGTTATTAACATATTAATCAAAATTAATTACTCAATTATCTAAACCCATCCCAATCTCTCTCCTCCCTCACAACCACATCCACCACCATTATCACCAATTTTTCTCTCACCAGCCCCGCCGCCACCACCACCACCACCACCACTACCACCACTTTTCTCTCTCTTCTCTCACAGCAACGGCCCGAATCCACCCAGCCACAACCCCGAATCCCCCTAGCTCCTCCCCTCCATGTCGCCGCGAAATTCCCGACCCAAGTCGCCTCTGTCGCCCAAACCTACCCCTGTCGCGCCGAGATCCCGAGAAAAACCCCAATCCCAGCCACCCAAACCCTAACATTGCTTCTTTATTTCCTCACTTCGCTCGGAAACCACCGACGATCGAGTCACCGACCTCCTATTCCATGATATAGTCGTCGATCCTCCTCGAAATTGAAATTGATTAGGGTTTGCGGTGGTGAGAGAGTGTGTAAAGGGTGGTTTTGTGGTGGTTGCGAACTGGGTGAACTTGGTTGAGGTGGTTTCAGATCTTGATTGTGTCGGTTTCAGATCTTAGTTTTTGGTTGCGGTGGTTTCAGATCTTTGTTTTTGGTTGCGGTGGTGAGAGGGAGTCATGAGATAGGGTGGTGGTGGTGGTTTCGGAGAGTGGGTGGATGTTGCTGCTGGTGGCTGGTAGGTGGTGTTGGGGAGAAGCCATGGCAGTTCGTTGGAAGTGGTGGCCGGTGACCTTGATTGGTTAATTATCCCACTTCTCTCTCCTATCTTAATCACACACCCTTTCACTTTGTTAATTAACCATTAACAAATTTTGTCTTAGGAAACGTGCAACAAGGTTTGTTGCACATAATGCGTAACGGAGGAAGTATATAAAAGGTGTTAGAGAATCACAAAATTCAAATTTGAGAATCACAAAATTCAAACTAACATGAAATTGTTCCATTGGTCGCTAAACTTAGCAATTAACATTAAAATCGCTAAATTAGGAAGAAAAAAATATATATATATATCCGCAAGTTATGCTTAGATCTAGCTACGTAATTGGTGTAGTATAGTTAAAATAAATTATGATATTAAAAAAATAATAATAATGATCAAGAAATATAAATTTTGCATGTGTACTTCTTAGTCTCACTCTGTACTAGCGCAAAATGCCAGCCTAAAAAATCACGTTGGCTTGAAAAATTGCGATGGTCCATACAAAATAATTTAATTTACGTGCTTGGACAATTGTCAACTGATATATCTACGATTTGTGGAATTGTAGGGAATTTTTTTTTTTAATGTGGAACCTTGTTTCACCTTTTTCCACAACTTTATTTTTATGGTCCATTTACACACTTGAATTTCTGAGGATGGTAGCATCAAGACTAACAATTGCTCATAATTTATTGGTTTTCTTAATTACCTTCGATAGAAGGAAACTCTCGGTGGATTCAAAGCTATGGTACATCTACATCCGGTTAAATTTCATCAATAATAAAAAATTAATTGGTCATGGATTGAGCTAGTATATAATTCGATTGGCACGAGAGGCACAACATAATGACTTACATGGACATCATTTTTACTACGTATAGTGTAGTATGACTGTATGAGTTTAGCATGAGCAAGCTAAGCGTCAATCCACTAGCTTTTACCAATAGTAGTTGAATCAAAATAGTAAAAGGGAGAGGACACTAATAATATTACTCTCACGTCTATTTAGAATGATTGATACATCATATATTCTCCTTATCTGTATCAAACATGACTCGTTAAAGCACAAGGCATTTAAGCTTAGTAGCTTATACGTACAATCGGCCTCAATTCCAACACTATCCATGTTTCTTTACTTGGGCTTTTTTTTTTTTTTTTTTTTTTTTTTTTTTTTTTTTTTTTTTTTTGCTTAGACTAGTCAATGAGCATATTGATTTTGATGACTATTTTTCCAAGCCCTTATCCTCTCATTAGGTTTTATTCTTCTTTTCTAATTGTGACTATTAGTTTGTGACACTTTCCTCTTTCAAAAACTCTTTAGGGAGACTTCTCTTAGAGTCCTAATGCATTGCTCAATCATTTAGAATATACACATCACCTATATGACTATATCATATCATATAAACACAGTACAGTTTTATAATTGTCATTTAGGGCTTTATTTTCTATCCTTTTCTTTCAATAAATAAGTTACATTTCTTGTTTTATGATTAATAATGGGATAAGTTTGACAGTTTTGAATTGTTTAAAATATGGAAAACAACAATATTTAAGAAATTATGAACATGCAACCGGGCTATTACAACCACGTGACTAAATTTAACAATCAACAATCCAACATTAACAAAATCATGAGAAATTACAAGTTTATTTGGCAGAAACAAATCATTTATATTATGAATTGTGAGCTCAAATATCATGTTGACTAAGTTTTTTTTTTGTTAATTTATTAACGAAACTATCAACAAATAAATGGGAACTTCCTCCAAAATAATCCTGATAATCTTTTAATGTAAGGAAAACTTCATTTTACAATGCCCAACATAACTTTCCATAATTATACAATAATCTCAACTTTCACCTACATTTTCTTTCTTAAATCCCAATTACTGATT